CCCCCCCCCCCCCCCCCCCCTTTCCTTCCTAGCACTGATGATCATGCATGCGACCTAAGTATTTCCGTCTTATTCAGTGCTTCACTCAGAGTAATTCCATGCACATTTAAAATTCGTTCAGAAATCTGCTCCAGCAAAGGTTCAATGTTCGTTTCAATGCGGTCTGCGCGGGAGATCCAAAAGAGTATCAAAACATTTAGATAAACCCAATTTTCTAAGCAAGTAGCAATGAACAGCCACCAAAATTGGTGCAAATTCGCGGAGCAAAGAGTAGAAAAAGTATTTGAAAAATCTTTGAAATATTGTGAGAATGAGAAAATTGCTATACCTTTTTGTAATTTAGGTCTCCGGCGGAAACTTAAGGGAAACCTCAAGCCTCCAATTAGCAAACACTTTTTCTCATAATTTTGCGTTCCTTATAGCAGTCACTCTGTGTGCACCCCTTACTCAGCTTACAGCGCAATAATCAGATCGCGTACTTTCTCCCTTCTTTGCTAGGGCCCTAAATTGTTTTACCTTAATGAGAAAAACGCGATCCAAGTATACGACACTGCAGTTTGTCCTGATTGCAGGAGTTTGTTTAGATTACAAAGGAGGCTTCGTAATTTATTGGGTTTTCAAGCGGGTATTCGTTCTGTAAGGTTCAATAGGAGACCTCGTGTTGACGCCTGGACTAGATCATTGTTGACTGTATTATTAAATTAAACTGTACTTTCAGAGTTTTGGATATGATAAACACCGGACCACCTCCCAAGAGAACGAACTGTTTAGTGTTTCTTTCGGGAATGTAAGTGTTAGTTGTAAATTCTTACAATGGAAATTCTAGGAAAAATGTTGCTTTATACATATTGTATTGTCGGATATTTTTAAACTTTATTATTGATTAATTTTAGCACAAAGTTATTCTAATGAATCGAACTGCTTTGACTGCACAATGAATACTTATTACTTAGATACTTAGATATTTAGATGGCCTGTTTCACTTGTCGTGCAGACCACAACGCTGCTTCCATCCGTTTTTGTCTCTCACTAGCATCATTCACAATATTGCTGTTGAACTGCGACGACAACGTTCGCGAGGTCCAGATCCATTATTCGTTACCAGTTGAGAATTTAGCTGGTCCATCCATGCAACGAACACGTCGGCCCATCTGGTCGGTGGCCACCTCGAGGACGTTTTGTGAGGATTCCATTCCAGAGTTTTTAGTGTTTCTGTCGTCTGTTCTCATTATATGACCAGCCCAACGCGAAGACGAGACATTGATCTCATATCTGAACTGCGAAGTCCGAAGAGATGTTGAATGCATCGCCTATACTTCAGAAGACATTTCCAGCGCTCTATGTTGTTTGGAAAGAATTTGACGTAGCCACAGTGTCAGGCCACGTCTCTGCTGCGAGCGCAGGAAGAACAGTTGAGTCGAACAGGTGGGCTCGGAGCTGTGGGTCGGTCAGCTGGTCTTGGCTTCCTTTAGGGGCCTGAAGGCAGCCCAAGCTGCACGTTGCTTCCTATTTAGTTCTTTTTCAGATTGTTCTCCATGTTCATCAGGACTGAGATAAACATAAGAAGGCGTCTCCGCATTTGGAGAGCCTTCTAATTCAATTTCCTAATCCTCGCAAAAAGCGTCCCTCATGAAGAGTGTCCTTCCGGTTGATTCGCAGTTCCTATCCGCTTCCCTATTTCGTTTAGACGTTCAACATCATCTCCACTTTGGTGATATTTCTCGAGAAGAAAGCAGTGCCGTCCGGAAATGAAGATTTGAGAGGAATCTCCCATCAACTCTTATATCTCTCGTTCCAACCTAGTGATTTCATTACACAGTACAAGGCGGCGGTAAACAGCTTTGACGACACGGTGTCGCCTTATTGAACATCCTTTGAAATTGGAGTGTTAACGGGACGATGGAAAGGCTGAACAGTTGTTGAGCGGTTCCTGTAGCTGTCGGCCAATGTCCTACGTAAAATGGATCCACCCCTTGGTCGAAGAGTGCTGACAGTATGGCATTAATCTCGACGCTGTCAAACGCTTTCTCATATTCAACGAAGGTTAGGACAAGAGGTAGGCGGTACTCGGCAAACCTCGATGATCCTCGAAACTCTCTG